ATTGCCCCATCTTCCTTCCAAGGAGTGGCTGGTGGGTTTGAACCACCAGCCTTCTGGTTAGCAGTCAAGTGCTTTAGCCACTATGCTACCAGAGCTCCCCATAGGTAGTGTAATAACAACAGCTGACGTGTCTATTGAAGGTCCAAGGGGCAGTAGTCCAGGGACTCAAAGGAGGCAAGAGAAGAACAGTGGGAGTTCTCAGTGAAGGGCCATGGCCCATGGACCTTACCAGTTGTTGTCGAGTTGAGTTGCTTCTGACTCATGGTGACTCTGTTTATCAGAATAGAACTGGGGTCCGTAGCGTTCTCAAGACTGCTGCTTTTCAATATGGGGTGAACATTACATCCAGTAACACACTCCTTGGAGTGATCAGTTGTGGGATAACAGAAGGGTAGTGTTTGCGCGAGGAGATGGTTGTAGGGGGTAGGAGTGCATGGGAGGGAAGGACACAGGGAGGAAGTGGGGAGAGAGCTGTTACATTGTGGGGCTTGCAGTCAATGTCATGGAACACAATGTGCATGAACTGCTGATGAAAAATGAATTTGCTCTGTGAACTTTCACCCAAATCATAATAAAAAAATACAAAAGGTGACCTTTCAGAAGTCGATCGCCAGGTCTTTCCTCTGAGGTATCCCTGGGTGGATTTGAAAAGCCAACCTTTCCCTCAGTGGCTGAGTGTTTATTTGTGTCAGTGGCAGCTTCAGGTTCACCATTTTTGCAGCATCACTTCTTGGAACCCTCAAGACTTTGGTCAGAATTTATCAAATACTCCACCTCATTTTTAATCATTCTTAAGGGAAATAAAGGGGAGAAGGCTGTGTCCTCACTGTGGGAACATAGCAACAGCTACTGGGATGTCTAGAGGGGACTATTGAAGCGGCTGGAACAGCAGCCCAGAGCCCAAGCAAACAGTAACAGGCGACCACCAGGATTGAATTTGGAGACAGCAGCAGGTTTATGATCTTTCACGATGTGCCAAGCCCTTCACACACCTAACTCACAACAAAATGAAGTGGGTTCTATTCTCTCTCTCTGTCCACCAATAAAGCTGAGACACGTTGTTGTCAGGTGAGGTGGAGTCAGCTCCAATTCACAGCGACCCTGCGTACAACAGAACAAAACACTGCCTCGTCCTGCACCATCCGACAATCCTTGCTGTGCTTGAGCCCATCGCTGCAGCCACTGTGTCGA